TTATAGGTCACGGTTTTAAAGCGCAAACGAGTTTAATAACCAAATACAGGAGTCTTGGTAGTTTAATATAGAGTGCGACTTTCAGTCCAATCAAGACACCCATTTTCATCGATTAGTTTTATAAACATCCTCACATTGACCTGTTAACAAAAATCACAGAGTTTCAATGTTCGCGCCACATTTTGATGTAAGCTGTGACTTAGTATAGCTATGTTGACAAATATTTAAATTGAAGCGTGTTTACTAATACTAAATCACATCAGTGTAGAATTTCAAAGTTCATTAGAATAGGCCTAATAAACTGATCGTGTCTTACAGCAGTTAAAATAGTTCACAGTTGACGTGATTAATTTTGGTCCGTATCCATCCTGCTTGAAATATAACCAGTTCGTCCCGTGATTTGCGGTGACGCAGTACGTAGCCTACTAGACGCGCACGTGCGAGACTGCTTAATTAAACGTGTGATTGAAGCAACGAGCAGGTACAGTAAATGACTGCATCGGCCGACGGTTGGGACGGCCATCACCCGGCGACCAATCCCTCCTATGAGCGCTTAACCGAGGCAACGCCAGTCTGTTGATTGTCTTACGATCCGTCGCGCACGCCTCGACGCGTCGCTGTTGTTCAAATGAGGTTTCGTCGCCTACAGTCGGCGACCGCTCTTAGCCTGCCTTTAAGGCGAGTGCCATTTTTGTAAATGAGGCATACACGCTGCATAAATTTAAAATAAAGTATTTTAGAATCGCAACTACAGTGTAATCCTAAAACTAATCCTAAGATGTAGGTCTACTGTACGAGAGAGTTGATGTGTAAGCTACTGAGCTAGAGACTCACTGGCAGAATGACTGACCGACCGACATTTTTATGCTGGTATTAATTTACTATCAGACAGCGTATGTTATATTTTGTTTTGTTGTCGCTTGCACGTTATTACACAGTTATTGTATAGGAGACTTGATATTTGGTGGTCACATGTCAATCAGACAGATGTACCAACATCATAAATATTTTCATTATGCCTATATCCAGAAATGTTACGTATATATGCCCATCATTAATTAAAAATTAACAACATATCGAAGCAAAGTCTGTGATTTAATTTTAAAATGATCGTTGGACCACAAAACGCAGATATTGGAATGTACAGTATTTTACTTACTCTGTGCGTACGGTAGTATTGTACTTTTGAGTTTAGATTATTACGAGCAGTGATTTTTTTAATCACTTGTAGTGGTTTTGATTCACTTGACGAAGCCCTATTTAGCGTGTAGTACATGCCTTGTGTGTCCCGCCCGTATCTCGAGACAACATTTGCGTGGAGACGTAACTCTGAACCAATCAGCTCGCATGTAGTCCTACGGATCTCTTCTGTTTCATCATGGCATGGCATGCGCTATAGACAAGATTCAAAATTACAGCTACCCAGCGATATTCAGTGGCGTATCTAGAAGTCTAAATAGGGGTACTGATGGGGCGGGGGTGAAGTGGGGGAGCTCGATGATCAGTTGAGGGGCGCTAAATTGCAAAATAAAGTGATTTTAGGTGATTTTTACCTACTTGACTGTGATTTTGGTGGGGGGGTCAATTTTAAACTGGGATCGCGAGTAATTTTTGGAGGGACGTGCTCCCCTCGCGCACCCCATAGAAACACCACTGGCGATATACGACTCGAATGCTACCAAAACAAGACAATATTAAAAAAGAAAGACTGTTTACAACAGTGAAGTAAAGGTAGGCCTAAGTCATCTACTGGCAACTGAGTGAATGATGTTAAGAGTGGAGTGGTCACATATTTGTTATAGAATACTGTAGGCCTATTGTGAATTGCACATAAATTCATTTAAAAAAAATGAGAATATAGAGCGTTTTTTTCCTTGTGGTTATTTTTTTTTATTCGCATCTCAAAACGGTCGATGCTTTGAAAACAAGGATTTTTTTTATGAGGCTAGTGGACTTCCTGAAATTGAACCAAAGACCCTGGGATTAGAAGGCAAGCTTTCGACTAAGCTATAGAACTCGACCGCTCGAATATACTCCCAAAACTGTCGCAAGGTTTTGCTGCCCCGCTTCCCAAACTTTTTTTCTCTGGGACCCAATTTGTGATTTCCCATACAAGCCGCGACTCATGTAATGTTAGGCCTAAATGTCATAATAAATTGCACATTGATCTTTCAAAGATTCCAAAAATGTGATGCTTTACGTTTTAAAAAGTGATTTTTTTTACTAATTATCGTCCTTTTGATAGTGGTGGATACAGAAATTCGTAATAGAGGGGCGCCCGAAGAGGGATTTTCAGAGATAGAGGGTCCATGCAATTGTATGATTATGGCACCCGTGATGGCCGGAAATGGCACTCTTAGATTGAATTTGAATACATTCTTCCTTTCTTTCTCTATTTTTGTTATTGGAGGGTTGGGGGTGGTGGGGAGAGAGCCTTGAATTCGCCACTGGAAAACGAGACTACTTTAAATATTGCAACGAAAATATAATCGACTTTTTTGTAGAAAATACTTTCAACCTTTGAATTATATATTTGATGAACTTAAACTTGCATTTTCGCCGGTCTCTATGGTTACCAGTGGCGTATCCAGATTTAAGGAATGGGGCTTATGAAACGAAAGTCCACACCACGTCAGTGCCATCTTGGTTGGCGGTGACGGTGAAGTAGTTTGTACTTCTGGATGCCCGGAAGCTAATGGAATTTCCAAAAACTACCATATTCACCTGAGCGTGTACTGCAAATGCTATTTCTATGTGAGTTTGCGTCAGGAAAATATCGTGGAGTGATGTTTTGCCCTACCTGAAGTGTTTTCGTATCAAATACTCAGTACGTTCCCAAATACTTGCGAAAAAAAAAATCGGAAGTGATTCGAACCCACGACCTCCAGATAACTAGCCTTGCGCCATAACTACAGTAACAGTAGCACGTGTGACTATGTTGGCCTAATACACTCTACAGCAGTACTGTTAGTCCTAATAGTATTCTATATTTAAAAAGTGTGTGTAAAATTTAAAAAAACAAACAAACAAAAAAGCCTGGTCAATATTTTCTGGTTCTTATGAAATAAAAGTGTATATACCGGATATATATAGGCCTCATATAACATAAATCCAAATATGAGAATAAAGCAGCCCAAAAAAATCATTACATTTGGCTCATCACAGCACAATGCACATTAGAAATTCATTTTCTGAACGAAGCAATGCAACTTCTAGAAAAGACATAATCCATAAACGGAACCCCCATAAGATGCAGCTGTCTTTATGGTACAAATGTTATTTAGTCAAGTAATAATAAATTGTATTATATATATACATATATATATATACATATATATATATATATAAGTTAAATCAATCTGATATATATATATATATATTACACATCTAGATGTGTATAAGAGACAGTATCCATCCTGCTTGAAATATAACCAGTTCGTCCCGTGATTTGCGGTGACGCAGTACGTAGCCTACTAGACGCGCACGTGCGAGCCTGCTTAATTAAACGTGTGATTGAAGCAACGAGCAGGTACAGTAAATGACTGCATCGGCCGACGGTTGGGACGGCCATCACCCGGCGACCAATCCCTCCTATGAGCGCTTAACCGAGGCAACGCCAGTCTGTTGATTGTCTTACGATCCGTCGCGCACGCCTCGACGCGTCGCTGTTGTTCAAATGAGGTTTCGTCGCCTACCGTCGGCGACCGCTCTTAGCCTGCCTTTAAGGCGAGTGCCATTTTTGTAAATGAGGCATACACGCTGCATAAATTTAAAATAAAGTATTTTAGAATCGCAACTACAGTGTAATCCTAAAACTAATCCTAAGATGTAGGTCTACTGTACGAGAGAGTTGATGTGTAAGCTACTGAGCTAGAGACTCACTGGCAGAATGACTGACCGACCGACATTTTTATGCTGGTATTAATTTACTATCAGACAGCGTA